GGGTGCTACAACCCCTTTATCCAGTTCGGAGCTGTCTTCCTCGTTGGTACTGCAGTTTGGCAGACATGTATAACAGCACATGCCTTGTTCGCCTAATGCATTGAGCGTATCAGGGGGCAGATTTCATCAACTACAGCAGTCATTCTACTTTTCAAGCTATTCACAGTATGGGTGATTTCATTGACAAAGATACTATTTTCCGTTCCCCTGCTGCTTTAGATCTTTCAGCGGTTGCTCAAAGTTAAGGAGCTCCTCAAAATGCTCTTTATATCGCTGAAGAACGCCCTCACCATCGGTAAGAGTGAGCCAAAATATGTCCCTCACGATTCTTAAACTGTCCTTCCTTCACCTCGGAGCTAGCGGATGGTTTGCAAGAATACTTTGTTTGCCGTGTGGAAATTCGACTGCAATACCTCACAGAACTTCTCCCAGGAATCAGCTTTGGCTGCCGCCCTGCGTGCGTCGACATATCGCACGCGAGTAAAAGGCTCTTTGTTTCCACGCCATTTCTTGAGTGCAGCCTTCTTCTGTTTAACTGCCGGTTCTACCTCTCATAATCACCAGGAAGATCTATCCTGACCTCCATGCTGCAGACCAATCCGCACTTAAAGAGCTGTTGCTCAGTTCCCACATCAGTGGTCATCACCGGGATCTGTTCAAACCGTCATGCGATGTTGCTTGTAAATTTGGCTCTCGTGTCACCGAAGATAATGTTCTGGCAGCTACTGGTACCAGATCTTTGAATGGTACTCCATTTCTTACAGCATAGTGTGCCAACAGCAAGAAGGTGATCGGTTGATAGCTTTGTGCCTCTCTTAATGCAGACAGCCATGACAGAGCATTATTAGTAAGATGATACGATTATCAAATCGACCGTTGACTTCTTGGCACAAGCTTCCCGGTACCAGGTATACTGATGGAGAAGGTGTTCATAATGGACAGTCCGTTGTTTGCATAAGACTGCAGTAACATCTTGCCGCTATTGCTGAAGTCGCTCGAGCTTCCTTTCAATCATGCCTTTCCACGTTTCAGCGCCTACTCCGACATGCTCATTAAAATCGTCCATGAGAATCAGGGACTCCGTATTCGACATTGTAACGAAGGATTCATAAGCTTCTTTAAGCAGAAATTCATATTCTCCCTCTATATGGAACGCATAGACCTGTGACAAGGTCAGAGTTTCACCATCTTGTAGCTTCAGTCGGTAGATTGTGAATTGCCACTCTTCCGCCTACAGGCTTCCATTCAATGATTCTGACAGAACAGCCCAAAAGTCTGAGCGCGCGTCGTGATATCGATATCTGAACAGAATAGCTTCTACCCGCAGATGTTCAGAATTCCAGAGCCTTTGTGCTGGACTCTGTTGACGAGAGTTCAACTACGTCGAGTTGGTACCTTGCTGCCTCATTAAACAGCTTCGGCTCTTTCCCTCTGAATGAAGATATATTCGATTTTCTGACTACATGCCCCCACTGTCGGCGTAGGTCTCTTGAAGTCTCATCTGACGT